GGACTTACGTGCCGGCGATCCTTGGCCAGATAAACCCCTTATGAAAGCGCTGGGCAAAACACTGGATACGATTCCGTGCGAAAATCCAGACCAATACGTCGCGCTATGGTACCAACAAGGAGAACCGATTATGGGACGTATCTGGAATGATAATGGCAAGGTTTGTTTGTGCGATAATATCAGCTGATATCGGTTCAATTGTTCAACTGCATGCTAACATCATAAAAGTCGTATTTGTTCAATGTAAACGATTGGCAACATTTAGCCACTTTAGTTAATTTGAGAACAATCGAAATCACTTTTTAACTCAGCAGCAGATTGCATTCACTGAATTCTGCAGAATTCAGTTTGGCAAATCATAGAAACACCTTAACATTCATTGATTGATCAAATTTTCAACCAATCTTATCGAAATGATCATTATTTGTATTGAGTTTTGTGAGCGGGAAGAACTGGTCCTTGGACGTTGATCTCTCATGATAAATTCTTATCAAAGGATGAAATTTAGGTCGCTGCAGCGTTCGGCTGGTTTGGCAAGGATTACACAGGCATGAAAGTCGGATCTCTGCAAGTTTTAGTCGAGCTTATGGACAATATTCGTGGATTCGACTACTCATGGCAACCGTTCTCTGTTTGCGGTGGTTTCGGTGAGAAGGAATGGATTCCGGTCTATGTGGATTATCCGAAGGGAATCATCTCGCCTTGTGTGATCACATGGGAAGGAAAACAAATTCTTGGCAAGGTATTGTGAAGAAACTGTTTTTTTAGAGTTTAGTACGGGTTGAGTTAGTTGTTTGAGGATTGCTTCTTGGAGTACTTCGTCAGGTACAACAGTAAAGTACTGCTTGTTCGTGAGCTTGAAGTTTTTGTTGATTCGGTTATAGAGGAGGTTTCCGCCTCAACTGAACATGACTAAATCTACGGGAACGCTCGTCATTGACCTGGGGCTTTGCGTGTGTCTCATTCGATGACTTTGTTCAATTGCATATCAATCATCAGCTTGATGAAATTGTTTTTCAGGTTGACATCAGAAACGAGAAAGCAAGTTCAGCATTCAACGGTAAAGAGAACATAATCGTTGGACCGGCTGTGCAAACTCAGATGGTCCTCTGCCGTAAACCGAAGCCTGGATACAAATTTGAATAATTGATTTATTGATTATCACTTTTAATTGAGCACAACTGATAGCATGTGACAGACTGAGTGCATGATTGATTTTACTGGGTTATGATTTCACAGGGTAATGCGGACAAAAATATTCCATGATATTGGGTATTCATCTGACGATTATGTGGATTGTTGAGATGTGAATTTGAGCAAAATGTTACCAAAATTATCAGAAATGTCTCAATTTTTAGCGAATGGGTTCCTTCATAATTCCATTGGACGAGGGTTTCTTAGCTTCAAAGATAGTGGTTGCTTATATCCATCGTGGAAAACATTCCCTGCTTATATCTTAGAAGTTACACACACTGTTGAAGGGTCTAGAGCGATTTGCGATGTTTTTTGGGTATATATTGTGTTCATTCATATCGGTTTAGCGAGCGATTGTATTATCATTATGTTTTTATTGATAATTAAGTCATTAAAGCATTTGACATAACCCTACCTATCTTTTTAACCGTATGTCAATCACCTATGGTCAATGACAAGTTTCTTTAGGTGTCTTCGTAATAAAGCGTCTCTAGACTGTTCTGTTGCCACTGATTATTTCTGCAATTGTAAATATTTCTGAGCTATTGAATTCACCGAAAGCCAATTG